GTGTTGTGAGGAGCTTTGTTGTAAAGCTGAGAGGCTCTCTACCCGCAAGGTAGAGATGCAAGACTCTTCCTAGAGAAGATAGAGTTGGGGTGGCTCAAGGGTAGACTAGGAGAGTTATCCTTATAAACTTTTAAAGGCTTTTTTAGTGAAGTTGTTCAAAATTCTTCCGAGGGAGGTCGAGGTTTTTTTAATCCCTTTGAGCCAAGGGGTTTTTCCTCGTTAAATACCTGTCCACTTTACTATCTTGTATTTCCTCCACTCCCACATTAGAACTTGGTGAAAAACTGCCACGGTTCCACACACACAATTCACCTCCCTTCTTGTGTTGCTAACCGTTTCATCAATGACCCCGACCACAACCATTTGCCTCATATCCCTTACAGCAAAACGGCCAAGAGGTGGATACTCAGAGAAAGTCTCAACAACCATGGGCTTAGTCGGAACCATTTTCACGAAACCAGCATCACCATTCTTCAAGAACTTAGGTTCCTTCTCAAGCTCCTTACCAGACCGCCTGTCAATCTTGGTCACTATCTCAGCAAACTTCACAGCAATGTGGGAGGTGTGCCAGTCCAGAACTGGGGCATACCCATTGTTGATCTGACCAGGGTGATTCTTCGAGTAAGGTCATTCTTCGAGTCAGATGCAACGTACCAACGTTTCAGATCCTTGACTGCAACATTCTTCACATTGAACCCGACATTGTCACCTGGGTGTGCCCATGGTTTCAAATTGCGGACCGCAACCGCGACTGCGGCCGCAATATTACAGTTGCCGAGGGCACTGCAAGCGCATCAGCCCGCAACACCCTTATGATTTGGAATCACAGCCAAAACCGCAACGTGACTGCGACGAAACCGCAACGTAACCGCGCCGCCGCCGCAACATCCCGCAACAGGCCGCAATCAACCGCGACGTGCCGCAACAGACCGCAACGCCTCCGCCTGTCCATCTTTCTTTCTGATGCGAATTTAAAAACAATTCACGCTTCAGCGGCCGCAACACGCATCACAACGGCCGCATTAGCCGCAACCGCACTGACCGCAACCGCGACCGCAACCGCAATTTAAAACCTTGTGTGTGCCTCCTGAAGGGATTCATGGTGCATCTCAACAGACTTGACTTCCGTGGTCAAACCGGAGGGCGCGAACGTAACTAGCATACTTGGCTTAATAATACCGGTCTCCACACATCCAACGGGAACGATACCAATTCCACCAATCTGGTATACATCCTGATGAAGTGGGAGCCGGAGTGGCTTGTCCGACGGTCTCTTTGGCTCGTTGATTTGATCTAGAGCATCCAGAAGGGTCCCTTAGTACCATTCAAGGTTGGTTGATCTCTCAATCATGTTGTCACCCTCAAAACCAGAGATGGGCACGAATGGGATTTTTTCAGGGTTATATCCAACCTTCTTCAGGTATGATGACACTTCACAATTTCTTCATACCTGGCCTTAGAGTACTTTGGGGTGGTGGCGTCCATCTGAAGATATAAATCACTAAACAAAGAATATAATTACAAGGTTAGTAGATATCATTCATTTGATAAATGATAGGATATGTACTATATCATGTTCTGGACAATCAAGTCTAGGTTTCTTTGTCATCCGCAAAAAATTCCAAAAAAAAAGAGATTTAACTACTCAAGAAAAAGTTACTTGGTTATTTGAACAAATAAATACTACGTATAAGATACTGTCCTCTGTTCTTTCATTCTTTCAACAGTTTTACTTTCACAATTGTCAATGCACAACTTTGACTGTAATTATATTTAATTGAGTTTTTAACAAGAATATTACTAAAATAAAACATATTTACATAAATATGACTATTCATTACTACATGGAATGTGGTGTTGTGGTAACTTAAGCTCAAAACTTGAACATGAATTAGTATAATTTCATTAGTACTCTAGTTATTAATCATATTTTTGTAAATCATCTTTATTTTGGTCATATTTATGTAATTATTTCTATTTAATTATGTATTAGTAAACATTATAAAAAGTTGATATTTTGGAAATTCATATTGATAGGAATTCAATAACATTTTATACGTAATAATTTGATTATGTATATTACTAGAAAATCGTGATCAAAGTAAAGTATGTGAATAATGCAAAAAACACAATGTTGTAAGAATTATAAAAACGGAGGAAGTATAATATAATTCATGTTTAGTTAACTCAAGAAATACATTTTAGAAATACTATAATTCATGATTTATGGTGGTTATAGTGTTTTACTTGACCATAATAAAAAAGTTGTCCATTGGTGAAACAACTCTTTCTAGGAAAGGGGATAATATTTGGTATAATATGCTATATTCATATTGAACTCTAGACATGGTTTATATTTATAAGTTGGAATTAGGAAGCTTTTACTTGGACCATAATTTGCTGGTATGATCTGGTCTGATCTGAACTAGTCAGGTCAGGTCTAGTTTCTTTGTATTTTTATAACTTTGCAAGTCTCGTCTGATCTGATATGATCTGGTCTAAGACAAATTATAGTCCAAGTAAAACATCCTTATCCAAATTTATTAGCAGACAGAATCCGAGTATCCAAATTTGGAACCATAAAAGACCCGACCTCGGAAGTGAATCTGCATCCGAATATAGGAGTGTTTGCAGTTGCTTAAAAAACACTTTTCAACTTGTGACTTAAAAAAAGCTGAAAAGAGTGTTTTCAAATGACAGTTTCTGCAAATTAATAATTTAAAAGCTAAAAGCTGGAAGCAGGTGGAATGATGCTTTAAATTGTTTTTCACTTTTTCTATTACACAAAAAACACTTATTTTATCAAATACTATCAGCTTTTACTTTTTCAAAATCACTTTTTTCTCAAACACTACTAACTATTATTATTACTTTCTCCAAAATCACCTTAGAGCATCTCCAATCCTACTCTTTTGACATAGTAAAAGTTTGCCACGCCTATCAATTTCAAAAGTGTGATTAGTTTTTCATCTCCAATGCAAACGTGTATGGGTTCTTTTAATCTGATGTGGAACCGACGCTTTCAACCCTCCTGTTGGGATTTAGAAAGCTAGTTTAACGCAGTGATGGCTCCACTCAACCCATCCAGCGAAGAAATAGCCCTGAATAGCACCAATTTTTATTTTTATTGTTACTTCGTACTTAACAAACCCAAAGAAGAATACAGATGTTCAAAATTAATTATGCACGCAGATCAGATCTATTCGCTTCATGCTAGAAAAATAACAATCAAATAAGGAGCAATTAAATACGTTGTGAAAAAAATCTCCAATTATTGGGGGTAATGGGCGGAGAAAAGAATTTCTTCCATGGAACATGATATGCCGTACGTGAAGGATTTTATTTGTTAATTATATAGGTCTTTGGCAACAAGGGTTTATATGTAATCGTTGTTTTAATAATTATAAATGACAAACAAATACAGAGTAATATTTAATACATCAACATTATGCATTGGACATCTCTTATTTATTTCTTTGAATGTGTATCTTATGTGGATAAACACAACATTATTTAAATGACATGTGGCAAAATTTATCCTCACTCAAAAGAATCCCATTGGAGATGCTCTTAAAAATCACCCTACACAAAGCATTCTCTTTTCTAGTGGTATAGCACTATAGTTTGTCGCCGCCTTCTCCCTTTCGATTAGTCATACTAGAGTCGCAGGTATATCATCTCCCTCTCGATTACTGCTTGAATATATATAATACGAAGTATTATACACACACACACTGATATACATTATATGAATATCAAAACACCAACATAAAAAACCTCTGGTCCCGTTTGTCCAAGCTATTCCGGGTTATGACCATATAGAGCTACAATGAGATAAGGGTCAGTTTGGTCCTCGAAGTTGCAAAAAAGGGGTCAAATAAGTCCTTATATAGAAGATTCTGTCCGGACGTGCCATTTGAGGTGGCTCCCGGTGGAGTTTTTTGATGAAATTTTTTGAGCATCTTATTCATTAAGTCTAGTTTACTCATACCAAATTTCAGATAAAAATTCAATCGGGAAGACATTCAAATGAATTTTTGAAGATAACTGTGCCGTTAAAAGCGTTGTTATCTTCAAGAATTCATTTGAATGTCTTCCCGATTGAATTTTTAGCTGAAATTTGGTATGAGTAAACTAGACTTAATGAATAAGATACTCAAAAAAATTTATCACAAAATTCCACCGGGAGCCACCTCAAATGGCACGTCCGGACAGAATCTTCTATATAAGGACTTATTTGACGCCTTTTTTGCAACTTCGAGGACCAAACTGACCCTTTACTCGAGCTACAATGATTAAAGGAAAAATTGAAAAGAATAATCTCACCTTTCACCGGTCTTCTCATAATAATCCCACCTTTAAATAATCCCAAAATAATTACCCTTTGCACCTCATCTTCTTTCATTGGACCATGACCATGTTTTTTTTACTCTTTCTTTGAAAATTATATAAATAATCTCACCTTTCACTTTTTAATTATATCCTTATAAGGATGTTTTTACTTGGACTGTAATTTGTTGATCTGATCTGATCTGATCTGGTCTGATCTGGTCTGATCTGAACTGGTCTGGACTGGGTCTGGTCTGGTCTGGGGCAAATTACAGTCCAAGTAAAAACATCCTAAATGTGAGATTATTTATATTAGATTTTTTAAAAAGGTAAAAAACTTGGTCAGAGTCCAATGAAAGAAGATGAGGTGCAAAAATGGGATTATTTTGAGATTATTTAAATAAAGGTGGGATTATTATGAGAAGACCGGTGAAAGGTGAGATTATTTTTGTCAATTTTTCCATGATAAATGAGTGTTGGAGTAGCCTAATTTTTAAATAGTTCGTTTATTGACGATTTCCCTTTATTTGAAACAATGATTAAATGATTATTGGATTGGTTTTGAATTCATAATAATAATATCTTTATTTTTATTAAATTTAGCTCTTGTATTACTAACCTAAAAAGAGTTGGGTCACGAATCACGATTTCAAGTCTAATTTAACTATATAAATAAATATTAGCGTTCTTTATAAACGCAGATGAGAAAGAGCTGAACTAGCACACAATCTGTATTTTAAATTTGGAGTTTGTCAGTTTCTTGCAAGTCTGTATAAAAGATAGTACAATACTCTGTATCAAGTGTGCAATGTGAGAATCACTTTTGTTTTAGGTCAAACTGTGGATTTGCCTCACAAATCCATAAATGTATCAAGTGTTTCTTAGAATCCCATATTGTAAAATGTATACAAATGTCCCACTTGGGCCGATTGGGGTCTCAAAACACAGGCAAAATTGTAGGGTATAACCTTCACAACTCACAAAACAAAACAAACGGTGATGGCTCTCAAACAAGCTATGTGGAAGTGGAGGCCTCTTGCGGCGGCGGCATGTGCTAGGTCGAAGATGTTTTCATCATCATCTCTTAGTATTCTGTATGGTCCTGAGAGTGCTAATTACCGACTCTATGCTCCTGATGTTTTAAATTTTTACATGGACATCAGGCGTGCAAAGAATGGACCTGATGCTCATAAGTATGAGGACTGGAACGTTCCCGACGAGGTCCAAGGTTACATAGATGCAGGGCCGAATTTTGAGATCATGCTGTATGATTTGAGAAAGCTCCCTAAGTTGGCTGCTGGTGACCTTCTTCACCGATATGATCTTGTACAAAAGATTGATGATGAGATTGATCTGGGAGGCATTGACCCGAATGCCATTCCTTGTTATAAGGAACGCTATCACAGTGGGGAAGCCAAGCAATTGAAGACCCTTCTTAATGATATAAAAAGGATCAACCGCAAGAACAACAAGTTCCCAAAGAAGAAGAAGAAGAAGAAGCCGATCTCTGACTACCCGTCCGACAGTGACAGTGACGATGATGATCCTGTCGAGGGTCCTCCTTATGACTATGCTGATGAGTGTCGAGAGTTCACCCAACAGTACAACAAGGAGCAAAACAAGAACTTGGAGTTTTTGGGGGTGACTAGAGTTTACCTGGATGAAAGTTACAAGACCCGAGTTCATGTGTTCCGAGCTGCTGATCCATCCGCTGCCCGAGTGCCAATCCTACTTGAAGCGCGTTGTTCCTATCCTGATAATAGGTTGCTCCAAGTCAAGCCCTTTAAACCAGGTTAGTAATCCCTCTCCTTGTACTTTTACTTACATGATCACTCAAACTATTGTTTGTCACACAATTCAGGAGGGAGTATAAATGATATCATGGGAAACATTATTTTGGTGCATTCTTCAACCCAATCAAATAAAAAAAATGAAGGCCTTTTTCTGCTAACTTTTATTACACACTCAGATTTGTGTATTCCCCCCCCCCCCCCCCCCCCCTTGGTGTTTTTTGTTCATGATCCTTTGTGCTATACCTTCGAGTATGTATTTAAATGGTTAATGTGGAAGTTTTGATTTCTTTTCGCTTCCTAATTTCTTTTTGCAGTTCCTGTCCGTGGACTGGGAAAGACTTCTGGCCTCCGTGGATTAGGAAAGCCTTCTGGCCTCCGTGGATTGGGAAAGCCTTCTGGCCATTTGCTATATGAATGTAAATAAATCTATGTCTTGAATGTGTATTTCTATAACAAACTCTCTGAGTTGATAGTGTAGTTGTTCTCTAATTTATGGTGGAAGCAGTAGTTCATATTTTATTTATTTATTTATTTATTTATTTATTTATTTATTTATTTATTTATTTATTTATTTATTATTATTATTATTATTATTATTATTATTATTATTATTTTTTCTAACCCGGTTTAGACCAAAAAACCAGAAAGGTTTTTTGGGGCAGGGGCCAGGAAACACCCTGCCAGTTTATTAATAAAAAAGAAGGTACATAGAGTAGGTTTTTTGGGGCAGGGCCCAGGAAAACCAGAAAGGTTTTTTGGAGCAGGGGCCAGGAAACACCCTGCCAGTTTATTAATAAAAAAGAAGGTACATAGAGTAGGAGGACCAAACCAAAGTCTACTCTTAAGAAAATATATAGGGGTAGCTAATAGCTCAGAATTTTAAGATACCAACAAAATGATGGAAATGGTGATTCTTAGTACTCAGCTGCTCCATTAATCTTGGTGTTAATGTGGGTAATGGACCAATTGTAGTCTTGGAGCTTCCTTCTGATTTCTTGGATCCGAGGCCATCATTTCCAGTATTGAGCGGACAGGCCTATAATTCCTTCATAGATATCTCTATTATCTACTTCAAGAATAAAATTTGTCAAGTTTATCTTCTTGATGTTTATAATAGTATCCAAGACGGCATCTAGGAGGCTAAAGTGTTGTCCCGATTGTGAGTGATGTATGTCATGTGCCCCATGTACTTACCCAAACTATTACGAATAAGCACTGTAGTTCTAATCAAGTTAGGCGCAAGGCTCATGGTTGCAATGTTTATCTTCTGGTAATTGGCGGGAGGCTTAGACCAGGACTTGAACTGAGGTTTATGAGTAGGCTTTTTGGGCATAACTGTGCATATGTTAAAGGGTGTATGGGCACTGTCAGTGATGAAAGGTTTGAGATTCGAAATGACAAAAATCTCCGCTTTTATAGCTTTGATTGCTTCAAGAAGAAAGACCTGTTTGTTATCATGGATAAGCTTATTACGAATCTTCCATAGGTTCCAAGTGACAATATTAGGAAGGACCTAGTTGATGTTAGCAAAACGATCAACCCAAAACATAGTTACGAGCTGAAAACATTATTTGGTTTGTAGTTAAAATGATTTCGAAGTGTTCCCAAACCGCTCTGCTAAAGGTGCAGAAAGTGAAAAAATGATCGATAGTATCACTATATGGGCATATCGGACATTTAAAAGGACCACAAAAACCGAATTGCATAAGTTTGTCCTCAAAGGGAAGAAGACAATTTTCCATTTTCCAAAGAAAGAAAGATTTTTTTTTTTTGGGTCCTGCCATTCCAAATGAAATTGGAAGAAGTGGTAACATTCATTTTAGGTCTTATCACATCATAGCACTAGAAAAGCTGAAATTGCCATTTGAATTGGGCTTCCAGAAATAGCAATCATCCCTGTTATTACATATGATTTTGGTTGCATTAATTTGTCAACCAGGTAGCGGGGCAAGCTGTTACACAGGGTGGGGATCAAACAGTTGGCAGGCATGGCCTCTTTAACTGAAATTTGGCTAAGGTTAATGGGAATATCATCATAGTAAGCATATAGGGGCCCTAAATCTGAACCAAAAGGAGCTAGATTCTCTGAATACAACAGTTCTCATCAAAAACATTACGAACAGAAACAAGGGACTTGTACATTATAGAGTAAGTATCATCCTTGAGAGCATTGTACCAGTTAGCCCAAATTCTGGTATTGTCTTAATCTTCCATAGAAGTTTAAGGAAGAAAGTTTTTTGGATATGCATTAAACTTCTAAAACCCAAAACATTTTTTCTGAAACAGGGTAGCAGCGTTTATCCTAAGCCCGCCAAATATATTTATGGTTATCATTGGTCTTCTCCCACAAGAAATTAGAAAGTTTTCTTTCAATATTGTGGATAATCGTTCTAGGGAGAGAAGAGACAGCCATATAGTATAAAGGAATACTACTAAGCACATGATTAATAAGTACAATTCTACCCCCAGTCGATAGAAGCTTATGCTTCCAGCCAGAGAATTTGCTATCCACCTTGGTAAGATTATGATCATAATATGAGTTGGGTTTTAACCCAGAAAAGATATTTGCACCCAGGTAAGTGAAAGGGAAAGTTCCCTTTTTTATTTGAAAAATATTCTCAACTAAGGCCAGGAATGGTTTTTAGAGTGTTTAGAAATAAGATAAAAACTTTTATCTTTACTAATGAGCTGGCCAGAAAACTTTCATAATCAGTGATAGTTCTCTTAAGCATTTCCAGGGTCCTTTTTTCACCATTAGAGAAAACAATTAAATCATCAGCAAAAGATAAATGATTACTAACAGGCATGCCTTGAAGAGTAATATAAGGTTTAACCCTATCGTTTAAGAACAGACTCTTAAGCTTTCTGGACAAAATTTCAGTAGCAATTATAAAGAGGACGGGAGACAGGGGTCTCCTTGTTTGACCCCTCTGCTAGGTTTGAAAAATCCTTTCGGGGAATCACTGATAAGCACAGAACACCAAGTAGCATTCATGTTATTATAGATAAGCTCGACAAACATAGGGTGAAACCAAAATTTAACAAGAACATGCTTAATAAAAGTCCAAGGCATCCTATCAAAAGCTTTCCTCATGTCAAATTTGAAAATAATATTGTGCTCCCTAGTTTTCTTATTGATATGATTAACCAATTCCTGAAGGATCAGAATGTTATCGGAAATCTCTTTACCTCTTTGAAAAGCAGACTATTAAGTGGAAATGATTTTAGTGAGTAAGGGGCTAACTCTCACAGTGATGATTTTAGTAAAAACTTTGTTAATGAAAATTACTAAGACTTATAGGCCTGAATTTCGAAAACCAATAAGCATGATTTTCTTTTGGGATGGGAGCAATAAGGTTGTGGGCATTTGTTTTAGGAATGGGAACTCCACAAAAGAATTCTCTGACAACATTATACAAGTCATCCTCAATAAGTTATGTAAATGTATGATGGGGTTTGTCAATATGAAGCAATAGTTCATATGTTACCATACGTTATGGTAGATATGATGGGGTTTGTAAGTGTATTAACTAACTTGGAGGAAGAAGAAGATTTATTACTTTTCTTTATAGCCACCACACTCACGCAACAACACATACACTACCTTACTATTTATAGTAAGATACTCACTTACACTTTATTACATACACTTGCACACACTACATAAACACTTGCACTTTGAATTATACACACAACACTCTTCCTTAATTAAAAAACTCTTCCTCATCAAACTGGGGCTTTAACTCCAAGCTCTTCTCTAAACTTTCTAAATTTATCAACTGGCAATCTGTCACGCCCCGGACCTACCGGACACGTCAACAACCCGCCGTACAGTACGAATAGTCAACCGCAGTCCAACTCATCCATACTATACTAGGCGTCTTGAATACCATTCACAATAGTACATCCATAAACAATCATAATGTAAATCATTTAATTAAGCAGCGGAAATATTAATACAAGTATTCAAGCCACACGTGGCAAACGCGGGCATACAAGCCCCCATTTAATTATTCAGAAAATAATATCCATGAACATTTAATAATATTGTTTTGAAAACAGATACGGAGGAAGCACGAACCACGTCTTCTCTCCTTTAGCTTCCCAAAGCAACGGACGATGATAGTGTTGGGATATTATTTAATCCTAATTCTCTCATATGTTCTTGTTATTACAATTGAGGTAGGATGGCAAAGCAATTAGACTTGGCTTTATTTCTTCTTGGGTTATCTCTTGTAAGGTTGTTTGGGTTATTTGTTATTGAGGCCTGTCCGGTTGAGCCTCTTGTATTGGGCCTATTATTAGGGTCCGGTATTTTGGTTAGCTCATCTGCCCGAATTGGAAGGATATATATACATCCTTCATCCTCTCCACTGCACAATTCCGCTGCATACCCTGATAACCTAGAGAGAGACGTTCGAGATAGAGTCTGTGAGATCTGTAATCTACTGCGATTAAAGCCATCTTCTTGTGACGATTGAGAGAAAGGAGGAAGCCTGTCCATCGGAGTTGTCTTCTCGTTCATCCGGGAGTCTTCTTCTGCCATCGAATTCCTATCTGGATTCGATTCGGTTAACTCTGAACTTTCTTTTGTTTTAATCGTTATGAGTCGTTTGTCTATTGATTGTTTGTAGTTTCTGGTCTGTGTTTAATTGCTTTGCAACCATCTTGATTGTAAAAACATTTCTGAGCTAGTGGATCTGTTTGGGACCGGGTTTCCCCTGTTGAAACCCCGCAGATTAGGAAGTTATCTTCCGAACTGCGTCAACATATCGTGTGTCTTTTACTTTCTGTATTGCTTCATTTGCATGTTTAAAGTATTGAGATCCGATTTGTGTGACTGTGACTTCGTTAAGTCTGAGAACAAATTTGGTATCGGAGCCTTGTGTGCTTTCTTGATATCTGAACTCTAACCTTTGGTTTGAATTCATGATTTCTTGAAACCCTAGTTCTTGACTACTCTTATCTGTTCGCATATTCTGGTATTTTTTAGATAGTCCAAGTTCTTAAAACCCTAGCTCAGAATTGTTCTGCCTTGTACTTGCTACAGTGTGCTTTGACTCTGTTTGATATCTTCTCTTGTGTATATCTGTTTTTCTTGAGTCCACATTGGGAAAATGTCTGACTCTAGTACCAAGATTCGTATCTTTGATGGTACTAGTGATTTCCCTATGTGGCAGCTTAAGATGAAGGCTCTGTTGATGAAGCAAAAATGCTTCAAAGTTGTTTCTGATGCTGAAATATCTGGAATATCTGAGTCTGACTTAATTGAATTAAAGAATGCTGCCTACTCTGAACTGATAATTCACTTATCTGATAATGTTGCAAGAAAATTTTCAACTATAACTGACCCTAAACTGTTATGGAATGCCCTGGAATCTACCTACATGAAGAAGTCTATGTCTAGAAAAATCTCTCTGCTATGTAGGTTGTTCACTTTTAAGATGAATGTTTCTATGTCTCTTTCTGATAATTTGGATAATTTTCTAAAACTAACACAAGAAATTGAGAAAGTGGACGAAAAGATAAAGGATACTCATCAAGCTGTCAT